TTTGGGAAAGAATACTAAGGTCGTAGTATTCTCAAATAACTATTTACTAAAGGGTTAATAGGAACAGAAGAAAATTAGGTTCTATTCAACAGAACAAAAGAATGACCATGAAGACATTTTTGAGATCCTTGAGGCAAGTTATAACCTTTAGGGCAAGGTATCCGGAGAGGTGCCTGTGGGACATCAGTGTTTATTGCTCTGAATTGCTCTCCACTTCCTGAATTCCAAATCAATGCCCCCTAAGTTGTGGCTCAAGCAGTCCCAGAGTCCACCATGTGGTGCTAATTCTGCAAGTGTACAGAATGCAAGAACTACAGGGCCATGGTAATCTCCACCTAGATTTCAAAGGATATCACAGACTGGTTGGAGGGCAAGGGGACAGGAAAAGAGATCACAGGGCAGAGCCACTGCAGAGAGCCCTCACTAGGGTAATGCCTTTTGGAACCTTGAGAGTGAGGCAGCCTTTGAGGCCACAGAACAAAAGGTCCACCAGCATGCAATGGTAGCCTGGGAAAGCTGCAGGCATGAGACTTCAAGTCCAGAGAACTGCTGGGTGGACTGAACCCACCTAAGCCATAAGGACAGGGCTGCCTGGAGGCTTTGGGGATCAAACACCCACCCCAGTGTGCACAAGATGTGGGACATGAAGCCCCAGGGGATATTCTCAAGCTTTAAGACTATTATTTTCTCTGCTGAGTTTTGGGACTTATGCTCCTTCCTTCTTGCCTGTCACTCCCTTTTAAAAAGGAACCGTCCTTCCTATTTCCCACCACTGTATCTTAGAAGCATAGGACTTGTTTTGATCTCAAAAGCTCATAGCTGGAGAACTGGCCTCAGGATGAGTCATGTCTTGAGTCTCACATCTGATTTAGGTCAGATTTTGGAGTTCTTATTCAATGAAATCAAAATTATAGATTCCTTTAAGAAATACAGATCTGATGTTTTTAGTAGTTGTAATGTTTTTAATGTAGGTTTAGATATATGTTAAACATAGATGCATTCTCTTCCTCTAAATCACCATATTTACTCAGTAATAGTTTATACTGAAAGATTTTCTTTAATAGCTGTCAATAGTTTCTTTTTTTAATAGCTGTCAATGTCATTACCAGATTACATTTCTGGTATGAAATCATGACAAGAGGGTACAGGCAGAGTAATGGGAAGTGATTTAAGTTAGTCACAATGTGTCATCAAAGTCTAAAAATCTACAATTCCAGAAAGCTCTCATTTTTCAGCAGACAATAGGATAGCAATTAAGTGCAGTATGACCTTGGTCTATTCCTCAGGTGTAAAATGAAAATGATAATTGTATCTTCTTAATGGTGTTGTAAAGATTAAATAAAATGATGGAATGTACGTAAAGCCCTTGCCCTTACTACCATTAATAACAGGGAAATTCCTCAAGGTAGTAAATGGAACCCCGAAACTTCATATTGTGTAAATCCAGTGGTATAAAACAACTATTTTATTATGTCCGTTAATTCTATAGACTAAGAAATTTGGAAGGGCTCCATTGGGCAGCTCTTGCCTGGGTCTGTCATAAGGTTGCAGTCAGAAGTAACAGAGAGCTGAAGACTTGACTGGGTTGGTCATGCAAATAGGTGTCCTCAGATGCTGGCATTTGATGCTGTCAACTGGTACTTCAGCTGGGCCTGTCAACCTAAATGTGATCTCTCCATGTGGCCCGGGAGTCCATATGCAGGACCTCCTCAGGGTAGTCAGACTATTCACATGATCCAGAGTCTAAGAAAAGGTGTGAGCTGAATTGCAGTTCCTGACTATCGCTGGAAAACTGGCAGCATTACTTCTGCAGTTTTATTACTTGTGAGAGTAATTAAGGCTAATCCACTACCAAGGGAAGGGGAGGCTGACCCTACCTCTCTAGGGTAGGAGTGCCAAAGAATTAGCAGGCTTATTGTAAAGTTGCCCTATAAGATTAATAAAAATATTTTTAGTCTGTACTGTCTACAAAATAATAATAATTGAAAATGTTGCCTGAAAAAAATCCCAAATGACTTCCAAGGCACTTACTTCCTAATGTCTCTAAACCCAACCTCACCTAAGAATTTAGCCCATCTTTTTGAGAACAAGGGCACTGGGGAAGGTAACACAATTGCCAATTGCATCTGAAACAAATTTGCATTATACCAATTTACATTAGCAATATCATGGGGTTTTACTTTATTAAATTGTAAACTAGGCTATTCTAACAGAAACTCAGCATGATGGCTTCAATTATTTCACATTAACAATACAATCAACTAAGGCTGGTAGGTAGCTCTACTCCTTGATATAATTTAGCAATCCAGGTCCCTTCCATGCTATTACTTTGCCATCCCCTAAGACACTGACCTTATCTGCAAGGTTAGCACCTCACTTCCAACTTCTGAGACACAGAGGCAGATCTAGAAAAGCAGCTTATCTGAGGGAATCTGCAGTAAATTGCATCCATGATGTTTCTACTCCCAACCATTGGCCCAAATTGAGCCACATGTCCACACCTTGCTGGAGAGGAGCCTAGGAAATATAGTCCCAGGCTGAAAGCCACATTCTCAGGATGGAGACAACAGATTAGGGAAACAATAGTCTGCCCCACAAATGATGAGTAATTATCATTATAATATCCAAACATTTGCAGTATTAACAAGCTAATCGAGATACCTTAACTTCCACCAATTTCATCACCCCAAATTAAGACGCCAACTGCAAATGAATCTGAACCAAATGACATGTTTTTGAAAGCATTTACAGATTTCTGTAGGACAGCAATTCTCTTGAAAAAAAAAAAAATAATCCACCTATTTGAGAGTTCACCTGGACTACTGCATATGAATTACTGTGAGTTCCAAATTAATGTCTGATTGTATCTTAATAGATTAGAAATGATAATCAAGGTAGGGGAAAACAGCTTAACAATTAAGAATCCACAGATAATCAAAACTGGTTGAGAGCAAAATGTGTTCATATTAAAGGCAAGGTGATGCTTTCTCTCATGTATTAATGTGAACATTAGATAGTATGTAGATTTATGAGCTTTTTTGCAGATACTGCAAATTTAATGGACTTGAGTGTATTTTTATAGCCCCATCTTCTCCCTTTGAGGGGATGATGCTAAGGACACTGCACAAATGTGTTGCAATGTTAAGATGCTGTACCAGAAATTATCTGGCTACTTTCTGTTGTCTCCTTAAAAATAATTGAACTTTCCTAAGTCGATTTCCTCATTTATAAAACAGTGATACTACCTATACCTCACAGCAGAGAATCATAAAATGTGATTATATTCAGTTAAACACAAATTCATAGTACACAAAGCAGAAAGAATATATCAGTGCCATGTCTAGTCTGAAAATGGGCAGTGAGACCAGCCAGCCAGGCTGCCAGGAGCTTCTCAACATGCACGGAGAGGGAACAAGATTATGTTCTCTCACTTTTGATCCCAGTCTCAATGACTCAAGCTAAAGCCAGACAAACCATCCTGTGAGAGCCATCTGGTCCTAGGAATACTCCCAGGAGGAAAGACATCACACAAGCCAGAAAGGCAAACAAACTGAATTTTATAAATTGTGATGTGAATAAGGTGAGAAAGTAGATTATTTCAAAAACTCAAAATTAGAAAAAAGCTGTCTCCCAAAGCCTAGAAGACATGGCTAATAAAACAAATACAGGCAACAGTAGTATCTTAGAGGTCAGAAAATATATTACCCTCCCACTACCCCCACTTAAAACAGCATGTATATATGAGATACAAGCTATCAGTGCTGGGCTGAAGTGGTAATGTGGAATGGAGATGATTAAGACACTACAGCAGGAGATGACTACAACATGGTAGACACCCATTTTGGAACCCTAGCCAGCAGAAGCAATAAACTAGATATTGCTACTTAACTGAAAAAAATGTTGATTGAAAAATGAAACTGAGAAGAGCAATAACATGGTATCATGTACAACTGGTTGAGTATAAATTAAAACCACAACATATGCAACACACTATACCATTTTCTCAGGCTACAGATTTAAAAGATGTGGGGAAATGTTAGGAAAGAGGATGAAGGACCAATGTGCAAACCAGGAAGCCCTCTATTGTTGGATAATAGTGAACCTGTATATTAAAGAAATAAAATTAATTCGACTCTGCATCCAAAGTTTAAAGGATAGATGAGAGCAAATGAAGACTGGTTAATACATGGTGAGGGCAACTGCATTCCCTGGCATCCTGAGTACACTTCTCAGAATAGTGTGCTGGCTAGGACACTGGCCTTATGTGCCACCAATTTCCTCTACAAGGGAGAACTTCAAGCACTAATTCAGTGCTAGGAACTTCGGCAGATTTATTTAGCCCTACAATCTGTGAGATGACATAGACCTGCATTTTACAGATGTAAAAAATCAAGTCACTTTTCCAAAGTCATCAAGGTATTTCAAAGGCTATAGATTTCACTTTTGGATTCATTTCCAATTTATTAGTGCCTTCCTCTAGGCTACCTAAGCTAATCATCTCTTCAGAGAGCTAACCATGAGATAGTCTTTCTAAGATGATATTAATCATTTACCTTTGTTCTTCTCCTAAACTAACCATTCACATAAAGGCAACACTGAAAGTGAAGTCTAAGTGCCCAGCACTATCAATCTTCATGTGTTCACATTTAGAAATAGAAAAACTTAACAATAACCCACTTTACCTCTGCTGGATTTAATCAATGCCAGAGACACACACCTCCACACGAACCACAACATATTCAATGAGTGACAATTTTTCTCCCACAGAAGTCTCAAAAAGCCCCCTCAAATATGTCCTAGTGCCCTCATGTCATGAGTTATTTTGAAAGTTAAACTGATTTTGGAGCAGACAAGTCACTCAAGTTTCCCCTATCATGCTGACAGCCAGATATCGCTTGAAAGCTGAGGCAATAATGTGACTGCCACGAAGCAGTGCAGGTATCAGACTGCAGCAGACACACACCATGTAAAATTAAGCTGAAAACACTGTTCACAAATGCCACCTGAAAGTCAACATGAGTCTGATTTTATTATTAGGTCAGAACAAGTGAAGTAGCAGCAAAAGGGCGTATCCCACAAGCCAGGTTCCACTGGTCCTCAGGCAGGGAGGAAACTCGTGCAGGAGACAATCACTCAATCCAGCAGACTCTCAGAATCTCACTTGGGCCCTAAAGTGCATTTGCTTGGTGGCATTGTTCTTCATTCCTGTCTTCAGCATCCATTTTGATTTCATCCTTTGGACATACTGCATATCCCGCTCTCGCATAAGAGCTGCTCCTGTAGTTGGAAAGAAGTTTAAAAATGAGCGGAAGCTCAGTTATTTATGGTCAGTGAAAGCCCAATCTTTGTACAGAATGGCAAAGTTAATTTGGGAAGAATGGGCTCTTTTATACTTAAAGAAGAGATGCTATCTTGAGGTTTCCCACCAATGAGCCTAGAGGGTAATGTGTATCCCAGCCACAGATCAGAACTTTTGTAAATACACATTTCTCTGTATTAGCTTCTTTAATTTTTATAATCTTGAAAGGATTATAGGCTCCACTGATCTAAGAGGACAAGGTGGGAGCTATAAATTGAGTCAGACAATAATTCTTTTTTTGCTAGATTCAAGTGGCCTCATGACTCACAAGCAGCCATGATGAAGGTAACAGGTGCATATAAACACAGGGTTTAAAATGGATCTTAGGCACCAGCGCTTTCTAAGTCATCAGGAGGCAGTTCTCCCCCTGCCCTCTCCACGAGCCTCTGGCTGGACCGTTTTCCCTGAAGATGTACAGATAAGCAGCTTTATGCAGTCCACACATCAGAGTAGATTTAAATAGTATCATATTGATGAAGTTTCAAAGCTTAATAACTTCAGTGGCCAGCTTTACTATCTGAATATTCTAAGTTTTCTATGGAAAGATCATAAGAAGAGGACTGAGAGCCAACCTTACTATTTGCACACCCTGTATCACACATGCATTATGAAGGTCAATCCTCTCAACTCAAAAAGGTAGGCCCTTCCCTTAACATCCTCAGTGTATAAACAAGGAAAAAGAAGCGTAATTAAATTACTCATGTTCATCACATAAGAACTTGTAAGTACATCATATAAGTCATGGTCAACTCCACAGCCTAAACTATTTATAACCACCAAGTTATTTATAACTCAATTCTTCTGTGTAGCCTCCAGGATAATTTCAGCCTGGGATGATTACTAAGCAATTCTTTTTCTAAGTATTGTCTGTTGAAAAAGTTAATAGCGTATATAGAGTTATTATAACCAGGAATATGAAGTTTTTAAGTCGTGGAGCCTTGGGCTTCACTATAACTAAGTGATAATGAAAACCCTACAACTAAGAAATCAGGCTTTTAATGACAATATAAATAGAAATGATATCACCCAAGCCCCTTCTACAAGTACAGGTTCTTGGGCTGGTCAATAACTGTAAACAGATGTACCTGTGCTGCCAGTCCACCCCAGGGCTCGGTACTGTTGGAGTACTCTGCCCACAGCCTTCTGATTTTTAGCAACTGCCACAGCTCTTGACAAGCCAAATCGCTGTTTGTAGTATCTCATCAAGGAGCGATGACCAACTCTGGCACCTGTTTTTCAAAAGAATGATATTTTTTTATTTTTTACTTATGGTTATACTTTAAAAAAATTTTAATTTGTTCTTTTTAATTATATATGATGGTAGAATGTACTTTGACATATGATACATACATGGAGTACAATTTCCCATTTTTGTGCTTATACATGATGTGGAGTTACACTGGTTGTATACTCATATATGAACATAGGAAAATTATGTCCAATTCATTCTACTATCTTTCCCATTCCCATGCCCACTCCCTTCCCCAAGTCCATTCCAGTAAAACTCCACCCTTCCACACCTATTGTGAATCAGCATTCGAATATCAGAGAAAACACTGGGATTGGGTTATTTCACTTATCATGATAGTCTTCAGTTCCTGCCATTTGCCTGCAAATGCCATGATTTCATTCTTTATGGCTGAGTAATATTCCATAGTGTATATGTATCACATTTTCTTTGTCTATTCATCTTTTGAAGACCACCTACATTGGTTCTATAGTTTAGCTACTGTGAATTGAGCTGCTATAAACATTGATGTGGCTGTGTCACTACAGTATGCTGATTTTAAGTCCTTTGGGTATATGCCAAGGAGTGGGATAATTGGGTCAAATGGTGATTTCATTCCAAGTTTTCTGAGGAATTTCCATACTGCTTTCCAGAATGGTTGCATCTCTCTTTTTTAAAATAGGGATAGAACCCAGTGGCACTTAACCACTTATCCTCAGTTATTTTTAAAATTATGAGTCAGGGACTCACCAAGATGCTCAGGGCTGGCTTTGAACTTGTGACCCTCCTGCTTCAGCCTTCTGAGTTACTGGGATTATAGCATGCACCACTATACCCAACAAAGAGCAATATTTAAACACTGAGTTGGATAGTTTTTTCAAGGTAGAATTATAAAGCAAGGGCTTTCCCAAATCAATCCTTAAGATCTAGCTGGAAAATGGATATGTCAGAAGAAACAGTGTTCTAGCTACTAAATAAAGACAAAGCAGAGGAAACAAAGACAGAATGGGCTGGGCACAGTGGCACATGCCTGTAATCCCAGCAGCTCTGGAGGCTGAGACAAGAGGATTCCGAGTTCAAAGCTACCCTCAGCAAAAGCAAGGTGACAAGCAACTCAGTAAGACACTGTTTTCAAATAAAATACAAAATAGGGCTGAAGATGTGGCTCAGTGGTTGCGTGCCCCTGAGTTCAATCCCTGGTACAAAACAAAGAGAGAATGGTAAATCACTTTTCAGCAAAATTTCAGAATCTTGTACTTACAATATGCCTCCCAAGAACTCCCCATAGCAACTCCTACTAAAACAGATAAAAGGGCCCTAGAAAATAAGGACTTTTTAGCCTTTTTTTTTTTTTTAATACGAAGATTAAACAGAGAACAATCCTGATAGTTAGACCTAAGAACCACAGTCAGGGTCCACAATAGAAATCCACCTTTCCCTTACCTAAATTCTCCATTGCATTCTCCAACAGAGGTAATTTTATCCCACAGGGAACATTTGGCTCTGACTGGAAACATCTTGGGTTGTTACAACTAGAGGCATGCTACTGGCATCTAGTGGGTAGATATCAGAAATACTTCCTAAACTTTTAAACACACAGGATAGCACCTGGCAATAAGTATTATTAGACCCAACTATCAATAGTACCAGGGCTTAAAATCCTATTACTTCCCAAATGATAAAAAACATTTGGTGAATCAGTTAGTGAACTAGAATTTTAAAAGATGATTAAGTTGAATTCTCTCTACAGAGGATTTTTATTTACTTAGAAAAAACTGATAAAATTCTGTGGGTCAATCAAGCTTTCAGAAACTAATTTCTAACTTTCAACAAATTTTGATGTCATTACAATATAAAATTGTATATATAAGCCCCTCAGCAATTATAACACAGTGTGGAGGGAAAATACTATATTTCAAACGAGAACTGTTCCCGGGGCTGGGGTTGTGGCTCAGAGGTAGATCGCTTGCCTAGCAGATACAAGGCACTGGGTTCAATCCTCAACACCACATAAAAATAAATAAATAAAACAAAGGTATTGTGTCCAACTACAACTAAAAAGATTTTAAAAAAGAAAATGGAACAAATTTATTGACCACCAAAAGCTTTGGAATTTCTGTAGTTAGTCTAATAAAAAACTGAAGAAAAGATATTTACCAGAGGAACAATCCAAGATTCCTATTAAGAGGATGTTATAGCTGATGTAATAATCAAGGAGTCACCAGAGGACCAAATCCAACCAACCACCAAATAAATAAATAAGCAAACAAACAAACAAATAAATAAAGCTAAAGTAGAGATTTGTGTATAGTTTCTAAAAAAGTTTTATATTTGTGTATGTAAAACTATTTCTTTCAGAATCTTTTGATTAGAAAGACCATGAATGGGATACTAAATGTAGAAGCTTGTATGTGTACAAGCTTGTATTTGTTTTTGGGATCTAGACCTTTAATTCACATTAAAAAAATGTTGTCAGGTTATTTTAAATCCCTATACCTGGCAAGACACTGGAAAATGACTGCCTTGCAACACAGACATGGAAAAGTACTTGTTTTTGGTTTTATGATCATACTCAAAGAGATGACAAAAAGAACCTTCCATCTCAAAGACCTAGTCTTTGCCAATAGGAATGAAACTATTTCCCTTGAACTTGACTGTTCAGGCAGCACAAGAGTTAACAAACCTCCAAAATAACAAGAAATAAGTGAGATGTATCTGATGGAAAGAGACTCAAGCTAAAGTGTAAGCCTAACAGAAAAATCCCAGCATCATTCACTGTAATTTTCTATTTGCAATATTAGGTCAGGGTGCTCTAGTTCCAGGTTTGCATGATGATTATTCCTAAACCATTATATGATAATGCTGGTTTATATTTTTATACACCATTTGGAAATACATTCTACAGTTTCCAATAGTTGGCAGGAGAGAAGTAAAAACAGTGTTTAGAGTTACTGATGTGTTGGTGGCAATGAGCACAGGACATTAGCACCAAGTATACTATGCTAAGAACAGCTCAACGTGAAAGCCTTCATCATGGTAAAGTATCCTTAGGGACTGTGTGACTGTCCAATTAACAACAGATAGGTTTTGTCTGATTTATGGTGAGGCATACAACCTGTCCATCTAAATTTCATGTACATTACAAAACTATCCGCTCCTTCTTAACAAATAGCCATGCAATTGACAACAACAGATACTGTAAAAGAAAACATCCCCATCTCTAGTTTTGATGATTAATAAGGCGACTAATTATGTATTTCTTATGGATTCAACAACAGTTTCATGTAGCTAGTCAGCAGCTAGAGGAATGTCTTTCACTCCAGCTTCCTCTAAGTGAACTGAGGAACAAAGAAATTCAAGGAACCCTGCCAGACCACAATCTGCAAAAGACATGCTAATAGTGCCCTCTACTGGATAATTTTGTCACTGGCTCTGGGATCATCAGCTTGCATTTTACGGAGAACAATCTTGAGTAACTAGATTTAAAATAATTTCCAAATTAGCTTTAAGCTAACTAACATCCATGCTAACCCAGTCATATAGATGAGCATATCTGAAGAAGTTTCTTAAAGGTTATGTTCTTCAAAAAGATAAATAGGTAATTAAACAATGATGCTGCTACATTTTTACAATTTTTTTTAGAGTGTTCCTATTTTCTTGAGCCATTTAAACCCCTCCCTTTTAAACCAATATTGAGGCACAAGAACAAACCAATGGACTGTCAGGTATCACTACAAACATGACTGACAAAAGCATGACTGGCTTTTAAAATCTGAGATGATAAAGTACAGGCAACACTAAAAGCACTATGTCAGTCCAGATGGAGAAAATTTCAGAATACAATGTTTTTTGATTTGTTGCCATTTAGACAAAACCATTATTTGTGATGAGTAGTGATTTGTATTTGCATATTCTTATTAATGGCCCCGAATCTTCTCCAGGTCACAAAACTACAATCTTTCTCAAGAAAAACACATACTCCCACACACCAAAAAAAGGGCACAGTCTAGTTAAGACTACTTGGAGTAGACAGTTTCTGGTTGTTGGCTAGGTCTTTCCTGAGCTAGTTTGCCTAAAAGTACAGTATTTTGCAATACTAGACTACCAAACCAGTTACCTCACTGCTTCTCGGACTACATCAAAGAGCAATCTGAGATTCCAAGCAAGCCAATAATTACAAAGAAATAAAGTCAATGTTATCACAGATATACAAGCATCCTGGGAATAGAGGAGACTTCTGTCACCCAATTACTGAGACTATTATCCAGTACTTTAAAATAATATGAATCAACTACTGGGCCCATATTTGTGAGTAAGGAAAAAAAGGCTTTAAAACCAAGAGAAAATGGACTTTCCAGCTAATCTCAGGTCACTTTCTTCTTTGACTATATTACACACAGGCAAAGCAATCTTCTCCAAAGACTTAGGGGGTAATGAAGACAAATAAGATTCTAAGCCCCCGTAAACTCCCTCTGCTTGCCTTTTCCTTTATTGTCATAGGCTCCAGGGAATCAACCTTGCTTTACTTTTAAAAATATCACCTCTACCCTTTCAGTCAACAAATATTTATCTGTCTTTTATGTGTCTGAGACCCTGTACTGAGATGAAAAGATGAAAGAAAATAATCTGTTCTCCAAAGTGATTGGGGGTTAGAGAAAATAACTTCCAAGGTTCTATAGCACAGCAGGGTAACTATGGTTGACAACAATTGAGTATTTCAAAATAGCCAATAGGATTTTGAATCCTCCCAGCACAAAGAAATGGTATTTTGTCTGAGGTAACAGATATGCCAATTATCCCCTTTACACACTGTATACATGTAAAATGTCTCACTGTCTTCTATAAACATGTACAATTAGTCTCTGTCCGTTTAAAAAAATACACACATATACATTTTTAAAAAGTAACCTGGGAAGACAGGCAAGCAAATCAATAATTACAAAGGAGTAAAGTCAATGTTATCACAGATATACAAGCATCCTGGGAACAAAGGAGATTTCTGTCACTCAATAAAGTGACAGTAGAGGGATTAGGGAAGGCTTTCCAGGCAGCGGGGTGAACCCAAAGAAGATGAGTCTTAGAGGAGGAGTGGGAATACAATAGAGGCACCACCATGCAAAGATCCAGAGGAGCAAACAAATTGTAAGTGGGCATATAGAGGAAGAGCACAAGACACCTGAAGGACCAGAAGCTACAAAAACTCAGGCAAAAGCTCCACCAGAGGAATTCCAGAAGGTAAAGTATACTGAAGTTTTAGAAAAAATGTTCTGGTATGCATGTGGAAAACAGATTACAGAAGGCCAGACAGGAAGTTATAATAGTGTCACAAAGAGATAAAAAGAAAAAAAATTTAAAAAGTATTCAAAAGATATTTAGGAGTTGCCAAATCACCTGAATGTGGGAGAAAAAGAGTATCCTAAAATGATAGCCATTTTTGGCTTTGGCTAATCTAAGAAAACTCAATCACCCTAGGACATCGTGTTTTCTATATAGCTGAGGAGTTTCCATTTTTTTCAAGTTTCAAAAATTTAAAGTCCAGATGAAAACTTCTTTCAAATATGCTACATTTCTTATATATGACATGCTCACTGTGATGTATATTTTTTGCAATATAGTGTGCTAAAGTAGATGAAAAATAAAGTGAACAGTATAGTGATTCTACAACATGTCAGATACTGCTTTATAAGGATGTCTTTCTCAACTTATTTAAGGTCTGCCGTTATCATATCCTACAGATAAGTGGAAGCTAAAAAGACACAAAGCCAAAGAGTCACGAAAAATAAATTATTAAACATAGTCAATCCTTGGTATCTGGGAGGGACTGATTCCAGAATCCTACCTTCAAATACCAGACTCCAGGGATATCAGTCCCTTATATAAAATGGTACAGTACTTCCATACAACCAATACTTTAAATCATCTCTAGATTAATTTTAATACCCAAGAGGGTAAATGCTACATAAATAATTGTTATGCCATGTTGTTTAAGGAATAACGACAAGAAAAAAGCCTACACATGTTCACTACAGACAAAATTTTCTCCTCAGATATTTTTACTTCTTGGTTGACTGCAGATGCAAAAACCATTGATATAGAGAACTGACTATATTTCTTATATTCTGTATTGGTAAAGACATAATATATTGCAATTAACTTCCGTATCACTATAGGAAGAATTTTATCTTCAAGACACATTCTGCCTGCCCTTTCTTTCTATTGTCACATCCTAAAGTTGCCCTTAGCCTTCAAAAGTTATGGTTCTGAATTAAGATGGCTGTCTGTACCAACACAGAAATTTTGCATATGGAAAGCAATACTACAGGGTTGCTTCTTCATCAGACACCTCCACTGGCAATGTGTTGCTCCCACCCCACCATTACTACATTCGCCAGTTAATATAGGAAAGTCAGAAATAGGTTTCACTAACTAGGTGTGTGGTTTGGGGTAAATTACTCAACCTCTCTAAGTTCCTTGAAGACTTATTGTAAAGCCTGAACATACTAATAACTGCACAGTAAATATCAGGAATTATGAGGATCTTATCATTTCTACTATTTCCTTTCCTTTTACCTCTGTGTATGCCCTCTGTAGCTTCCCCACAACACTTCCTTCTTTCCACACAATAAACAACAGTTGACACCTCTCATATTTGTAGTTACTCTTCATCTTCTCATATCTAGGATGAATTTCCACCCTGAATCCTATTTCCCAGAGAAGGCAGAATTGAAATTCCAAGCCTGCCCTACAACCAGAATACAGAAAGGCAACACAGGGAATATCAGTCAGACACATACTTGCCAAGACTACCATTTGGAAGTCTGAGTAACATAAAGACACAGTAATCAGTTCAAAGAATTAGAGTAAAAGCAATATTAGCGATAACAACAAAAGATGAACAGAATAAAAAGTGTCCACATATTTTTTAAAACCCAAAAGAAAAAAAAAAAAGAAATGCCTAATCAAAATGTTCTGAACCATAAAAGAAATGAGCAAAAACACTGGCCCAGTTAAAACAAAAGAACCAACTTAGAGCTAGGCAGCAACCTTCTGAATTCATATGTACATGAGAATGCAAACATACACTTGAATTTATGTTCTATTTTCTTCAGCTATGCCTCTTTCACAATCCACTGGCAGCAAGTCACTTATTTTTGACAAACACTTACCAGAAGGCAGAATCAGCTCCATAGTTTCATCGTCATATTCCAAGTTCTTTTCTGAGGGTAACTCCTCAGCCTCACTGGGGTCCTCCCCTTCCATGTGATCTGGGTAGCTGCTCCTATTAACAGCGAACAGGTGTTAATAAACACATTACCTCAATTAAAAATAAAAATGGTATTTGCAAATGTGGTCAACCTGCTAGCTATTTAAAAAACAGCTAAATGAACTGCCAGCTGAAAGGTTTTAGGGGAAAAACAACTTGTTAGCATTTTTCAGTAGAAGTGAGCAAATGTCCTAACAGGAGAATTTTTCCTCTTATTTGTTTCTCCTTCAGAAGGTTACCAAGTAAGTGCTAAGGAAGAGGATAATACAGACAGGACATGGAGCTCTAGTCAATTTAACCACTGTAAAAACAAATTCTAGAACTGTGCTATCCAACAGAACTGTAATGTCAGAAATGTTCTATATGTGTGCGTCCTACGCAGTAGCTCTAGACGTGTGGGTTTCAAAGCACTGAAATTTAAAATGGGGTACTGTGACTGAAGAATAGATTTTTTAAATTTTTAATTTATATTCTTTAAAGTTTTTTTTAAAGATAGACACAATATCTTTTATTTATTTTTATGTGGTGCTGAGGATAGAACCCAGCACCCCACAGGTGCGAGGCAAGCGCTCTACCACTGAGCTATAACCTCAACCCTAATTTATAATTTTAATTGATTTAAATAGCCACAAGGGAACACTTAGTAATTACTGTATTGACAGTACAATTCTGGAAGAATCTCTACATTCCTAAAAATTATCATAAATTCATATTTACACATGTACATGGAAAACTCACATTAAAATATTAATAGACAGCCCAATAAAAAATGAACAAAAGATTTAATCAGACACTTCACAAAAAGATCTCCAAACAGCCAATAAATAAATAAATAAAAACATTCTCAATTACATGTTTCATAATAAGGAAGAATTAAAATGACTACATAACTGCCAAGGGGCTAAAATAAAAAATTCTCCCTCACCAAAAGTGGAAGTACAGATAACCACTTTGGAAGACAATTTGACATCATCTTCTAAAATTAAACATAAGTATATCCTCTGGCCAGACTCCTAAATATATATCAACATATAATATGTATACTTTTGCCAAAAGACATATACCAGAATTATGCAGGGGCATTACTGATGATAGCTCCAAACTAGAAACCACTTGAATGTGCACCAGCAGTAGGTGAGGTACCGTGATGCATTCAACAGAATACTCTACAACAATTAGAACCAATAATCTACAACTGTATAAGTTAGTATGGGTGTAAAGGAAGATGTAAGGAAGAAGGTGACCCAAAAGAGTATATTCTTTCATTTATGTAAGTACAAAAACAAGCAAAATCAACTACTCAGTTCTATGTCAGAACAGTGGTTATTCTTCAAGACTGGAGGGATACTTCCTGAAAATACACACAAGGGAAACGACAGAGTATCATTAGTGTTCTGTTTCTTGATCTGGATGCTCACCATATACAATTTCACCAAAGTGAATTATGATCTCATCTGTACACACATTAATGCACCTTCTATAAGTTTATTCTTCAATAAAAAATTTCAAGTCCAAAATAAGTTAACATTGGTTATATTTAGAGGAAGGGAGAATTATAGGCAACTGGTCATTTTTTATCTGAGTGAATCCACATAAAGAGCTTATTAAACAGTGTCAGGCAGGCAGTAAGTACTCAGTGCTGGCTTTGCATGTAAGGCTTTCTATTTACCAAGTTTTCTTTACTGAGCACAATCAACTTTTGTTTTTTTTTTTAATGTAAATAAGCCACTTAATATTCATTTTTATAAAGGCTCACACCATTTCTCATTTTTAGGAATTCACACAATAAACTCTGTACAGATTCAAAAAAGCATTATTTGAATTAAAGAAAATTCACTTCTTGATCCATTTACATCAGTTATTAATTTTAATACAAATAGTCCACACAACAACCAGTAAGCAACACAACAACAAAAGCCTTTACTTTTTTTGAAGCTTAGATTCTAGAAGGAGAGAAACAATAAATAAATAATATGCAAACTGGCAGCAAAACTATTAAGAAAAATAAAGAGGATTAAAAAATATCAGGTAGGTGTTGTGATTTTATGAAAGGTGGTCATAGAAGGCCACCCTGAAAAGGTGGAATTTATGCCAAACCCTGCAGAAGTGAATGAACAAGTCATATGAATATTTCAGCAAAGGTTATAGGCAAAGACAACAGAAAGTACAAAGGAACTGAGAAACATAATTTTTGTTTTTAGAATAGCTAGGAATAGGGCTGGGTTGTGGCTCAGTGGTAGAGCACTCACCTAGCATGTGTGAGGAAGTGGGTTTGAGCCTCAGCATCACATAAAAATAAATCAACAAAACAAAAGTATTGTGTCCATCAACAACTGAAAAAAAAAAAGAAGAAGAAGAAGAAGAAGAATAGCTAGGAATGGAACAAGCAAGAAACAGAAAACACCAGAGTGATAAGGACAGCCAAACCACAAAAGGTTGTGTAGACCATTAAACTTTAGCTTTTGCTTTGAGTAAGACAGGAAGCCCTTGGAAGATTTTGAGGGGAATTTGATTTGACTTATATTTTAAGAGAATCCCTGTGGCTAGCTCTGAGAATAGAATGTAAGGGATGGTAAAAATGAAAGTTAGGAGACAAGCAGGCAGGGAAGTACTGCAGCAAATTCAGTGAAACCTAAGGGGGACGTGGATCCAGGTTGCAGCAGTGTAGGAAGTAAGAAGTAGTCAGATTCTGAAGGTGTGCGGGGCAGGAATGGTAAAGGAGTTAATGTAAGCATGAAATAAAACAGAAAAGATGATGGCAAACTTTTTGGCTTAAGTAACTAAAAAGGACAGAGCTGTCATTTACTTAAGGAAGATCAAGTTAGCAAGCACAGCAGGAGTTTGATTTTGAATAAAGTGGAAACATCAAGGAGGGCTGGATACATAAACCTGGAGCTGAAGTGAATGCTCTAGTAGAGAGAAAAATTGAGGTGACATGAGCCTACAAGAGGTACTAAAATCTATGAGACTAGGTAGGATCCTGAATATATAAGAAGGCATGGATAGGGGGGCTAGAAAACCAACACTGCAGCATTCTAAGCCAGCTGCTAGCTACAGCCTCTTGACTCAATCATTGGCTTTGAGCACTTTGATTAGAACAACCTAAGTCAAAAGGTAATAAACACTGCTGACAGGAAACCTGAGAGGGAGAAATACTGTCTCTTGTCTGTAAGAGGATGCTCTCCACTTTTAGCAGATATTCTGTCTTCTTGACTGCCACCACCTCTAACCCCCTACTTATGCCCACAACTACAAAGTCCTCAATTGCAAAAGGACACATCAGGGAGAAAACATGAAGTTTAACAGAAGATGACTTTTCTGAGCTCCTGTATCACTTCAGCTATGAATGGTTGGTATGATGATTATATATGCCTGCTTCTCTCCTTTACTACATTGGAGGAATTCTGACAATAAAATCTTAGTTTTTCATGAGCACCTAACATCCATTTGTTGCATGATGTAAGAACTACTTGAGATTTCAGTTAGGGTTAAACCATCAATGGGATAATCTCACCACCAAATACCATGATCTAGTATTATGATCATCCTAGTTTAGCAACCATCTCAACTCCTTTAGGAGACAGCTTGATTCAAGGTCCCTCGAGGAATGAAACCTAATTTCTTCACCTCTGTTCACAAGGTAATTGGCAAAACTGAACTCCTGATCATTTAACTACAAAGAACAAAAACAAGTGAGACAAATTACAGTTTGTGCCTGAAATCTTAATCTTCTCTTTCCTAAATGTGCTAAACTGAGTTTCTTAACCTATACAGAGGTGCTACAAGAGTTATTATGAATATACATATATATAATGAATATATTGAGTGGTGCTGCATCCCAGCAGCTCAGGAAGCTGAGGCAGGAGAATCACAAAGTCAAAGCCAGTCTCAGCAATTCAGCAAGGCCCTAAGCAACTTAAAGAGCCCCCGTTTCTAAGTAAAATAGAAAGAGGGCTGAGAGGTTAAGCACCACTGGGTTCCATCCCTGGTGCTGGGGGTGGGGGAAGAATATATTGTTGAATACCACCTCAATTCACTTCACATTATGAACTCCTAGACTTACCTAAAATCATAGAAGTCTGCAAATTCCAAAGCAGCATCACCATCTGTGAAAAGCTTACAGTGGCTTTTGTCGTTCATATGTGCCTGTACAGCTTCTGTGGAGTAGAAGGATTTCCCTTTCTCATTGCACCACAAGCAAATCTTCCCAACACCAACTTTCTCTCCTGGTTAAATAATTTGAGGAAAAAAAATACGAAAGCAGTTTTTTGCAGTCAGATTAAATCTCAACATTTATTTCCACAACTCAAAAACAAAAACAAAACAAAAAAACCGCATTCATTTCTAATTTTCACTAAATAATTAAATCAAAGATTGATGAGAAACATAAAACTGATGTTCCCTTGAGAACTGCCCACCCCAATAACATGGTATTTCCTCATTAAAAGGAAAACTATTATACTTACCTAAATATTTTATCAGACCCTTAAGGTCTGAAAGATACTCTATATCAGGAATAAAAAAGCTGTGGACTTTAGTCATATGAGCCACATTCTTCATGAGGGAACTTGAATGATGGGGACAAAATAAGCAGTCCGTTACTGGGATGGCACCTAGGGGTGGGCTATGCCCAGCTTCTTCCTCATCTGCATCCTGCTCCTCCGTGTCATCCATCACTTCAGTATCCTCACATTCCAATTCTTCATCAGAATCAATATCTTCCCAATCTTCAAGCCAGAGTTTTGATAAACAAAGTTAACTTTAAAGAGTAGTAACCACAATCAAAGACACCACAATGATTCACACAAAGAGGAATACCTATGTTTGGGGAGACAGAATGGCAACTGCATCCCCCTGAAAAAAAAAAATCCTTTTTCAAGATCTCAATTTTAACTATTTATTTACCACAGACAAATTTGTATGGGTAAGAAACTTGTTAATCTTGCTTTCCAGTATATGGTAATATCCCTGAATTAGTGTCACACTTCTTTCCTATGTCTGTGGTTTCATTTGGCTGATATTCTTATTCAGTACTATAACAACATCTAGGATTTCACACGAGTACTACAGTGCCATGCATGTGGTGGTGGTATGGTGGTACTGTGCTTCAAATTGCTGCTGTCGTTTGAATGTATGTGCTCTTTCATGTTTAAACTGAATCACCACAGTTACAGTACTAAGAGGTGGAGACTTTATGGATCAGTGTCCTAATAAAGGGGGTGAGGGAAGGAGGAGAGTAGCTTTTTTTTTTTTTTTTTGGCCTTTTGCTCTTTCTGCTATAGGAGGACACAATCCTTATCTTCGGCCTTTTCTATCATTTGAGTAAATCACGAGCAAACTCCCTTATGGAAGGCCCTGCCAATGCCTTGATTTTACACTTCCCAGCCTCCAAAACTATGGGAAAATAAATGATACTGTTTATAAACTTCCATCCAAGTCTCAGGTATTTGCTATGGAGACACAAATGAATTAAGTCACTAAGACATACATTAACAATGTTAACAGGACTAGGCATGAGGGAAGGAGAGACCAAATAGTTCATGAAGCTCAAGCTCCACACCAGTTTTGCTAGTTGATTGGGAGCCCCTCGTTCAGTTCTAATCAACAAATCTAAGTGAAAAACCATTAGAACCATGAAGTCCAATAGAATAATCGATTTTACAGCAGCCAGTGTGACAATAACGTGTCTTTCTATGCGTATGTGAAAAACTTATCCGAAACAGAGAACGCGTCAATTCATCCTACAGATATTTACTAAACATCTATTCCTCTTCCAGGTGAAGTTTTAGGCCCTGGATGTACAGCAGTGAACCAAACAGAGAAAACTCCTTGTGAGGACGCTGGCCACAGAAGGCACTTCAGAAATCTAATGATCATTTTCACACACCCACACACACATATCCACACACCCCTTAAGTATAAACTTGGAAACTTAAGGGAAGCCAACTTCCTCTGGCCCTCCGCCCCCAGACAAGGCCATTACCTTCTCCATCCAGGTCCTCCTCCTCCTCTTCCTCCTCCTCACTCTCTCCGCCCTGCTGCTTGGCCAGTTTCTTCGCCTGCTGTTCAAACCACTGGAGCCGGGGCGGTTTCTCTGCCGGGTCTCGGTCGTGAGTTCCACGTCCACCCGCAGCGACGGCCACCGCACTCCGGAACTCCTCTGTGGACACCTTCTTGGGAGACGTGGACGGCTGGGCCTTGATGGCCTGCTGGATGGCCGCGTTCATGGCGTCCTTGTCCACACTGTCCACGTCTAGCCCCTTCTCCAGGTTCTTCTCGTTCATCATTTCCACTTTCCGATTCACAGCCTGCACCGCCTTCTTCTCCAGCTCCACATGCCGCCTGGACTTGAGGTGATTTTCGTAGGCGTTGAAGGAGGCGAATTTCTTACTGCAGACAGTGCAGTAGGTGGCCGTGCCCTTGCTCTCCTCCTCTGCCACGGCCCGCTGCGCCCGCACTCGCTCCTGGAAGCCTTCGGCGGTGACCGGAGCCATGTTGGCCACTTTTCGCCGCAGGTTGTAGCGGTGCCAGTCCGTTTTGTAGTGGGCCCGCTGCATCTCCGCGTCGCGGAACGCCACCCGGCAGGTGATGCAGGTGTATGTCGCCATGGCCAGGCGAGAAACAAGAGGCGACCTAGCCAAGAATCTAACGATTAGCGTTCCGGTCCCACAGTCCGCTAGCGATTAGCTTTACGCAGAGATAGGAAGACAGACTCGGCGCTCCAACTTCCTGCTTCTCACTGAGGGAACTTCCGGTACACGCCGGAAGATATTCACACCTGGAAGGGAAATCCCGCCTCTTGGCCTGGGGCCACGCCCCGGAAGGCGAGGGAAGTTCGTCTGACCAGGTCCTGGATCCACTCAGCCAGCCGGAGGGCGGTGTGGGTGTTGATTGTCAGGTACCGCGTCCTCTCTGTTACCTTCCTCCGCGGTTGTGCGGTGATGTGTGACGCGGTCCGGGCGATGGCTATAGTAGAGGGTGATGTGGGTGCCCGGGGCTGCTCCCGGTCCTGGGAACCCTCGAGGAAGGTCCGGCCGGCGAACGGAGGTCGGGGGTCCTCGACACCCGCATGCTTTGCCCACGAGCCTGGTGAATGCAGGTGGCGAAAGCGGGAAACGCCCTCTGGGACCTTCGCACCCCAGCCCGTCCCGCTGGACTGATTCACCAAGTGACCCGAGAGTTCAGCCCCGAGCCTCGTCTTAGGGCGAGGGAAGAGCGCAGGCGAAGCTCTTAAACGAATAAACGTTTTCCTGCGAGGTGCCCAAAGCACAGCCAAACCACTGTCCAATGGAAATATAATCCAAGCCACATCTGTAATGTTAAATCTGTGTCCGTATTATTAAAAAAGTAAAAATGGGTGAAATCGCTGTTAGTGATATAGTTTGTTCTTTTCAGTAGAAAAGATTTTAAAAGATAATTTACGTTCTTTTCTTGGTATTAAATCTTGGAAATCTTGTATCTTGCAACCATAGCTCATCTCTAGACTAGCCCCATTTCATGTGGTCAGTTGCTTATGTACCTTCACATATATATATATGCACGGTTTTATAGGAAAACATGAACTTTAAAAACTTGGGGAAGTTCATAGGTTTATCTACACGTTGAGTAGAACCAGAGTCAGATTTTTTTCAGAATCCAAGCTGCCAATAGCACCAAGAGAAGACACGTTGTTAAAATATAGGCCAGATTGAAGGATTTTGCAAACACCTACCTTTGTGTTCTAGGTCCTACAAGATCTGCTACCAGGAGGACCCCTACTTCTGATCTATTCAACCTTCTCTACCTTGCTCAACCTACTTTGGTCACAGTGACACTTGATGTTATTCTAACAAGCTAAGCAAGCGTCTTTTGTTGGTATTGTTCTAGAACTCCTGTTATTCTGCTCTGATCTTCTTGCTCACATTATAAATCTTGAAATAGACTTTCTCTGAAATTAGGGCAACCTCCTGTTAACTTGTTTTTCTGCATTCTGTTTTTCCTCATTTCAAGAATAGAGGCTGAGGGGCTGGTCCCCCTGGCCTGACAGATTCCCAGTAAATTAAAACTGATATAGTCTCTGGCTAAACATAACCTAGCTAAATCTGCATATGTATATTTTCTGCCTTTAGTCTGTTTGCCTTTTTTTAAGAATATTTTTGGTTATAGGTGGACACAAAACCATTATTTATTTTTTATGTGGTGCTGAGGATTAAATTTAGTGCCTCACACATGCAAAGCAAGTATTCCACCACTGAGCTACAACCCCCAGCCCTTGTCTCCTCTTTTGAAAGCTTTCCTTGAGCCAGGCACTATGGCCTATGCCTGTAATCCCAGCAGCTCAAGAGATTTAGGCAGGAGGATTGCAAGTTCAAAATCAGCCTCAGCAACTTAGTAAGGCCCTAAGCAACTTAGTGAGACCCTGTCTCAAAATAAAAAAACGTAGGGAGCAGGGAGGCTTGGGATGTGGCTCAGCAGTAAAGTGCCTTGGGTTCAATCCCTGGTACCAAAAAGAAAAAAATAAGATTTCCTTGTCCTTGAGTTCCCTGGATGATTTGAGGCAAAAACCAAAAACAGATCTCCTCCATAATCCTTCAAAGTTGGCTTCAAATAACCATTTTCCTGCCAACTTGACCCTATAATATTTGTGGAGTCTTGTGAGTACTAAAAAGCCTAACCTCTTACTCTCCCTACTGCATGTAGTAACAATCTGAGTATCTTCAGAAGAGAGGCTTATCTAAATCCTTTGTCAAAAATAGTGCCCACCTCTATTCTAAGTCCTTACCAGAATAAAAGTTCTCTATGATACTATTTGGTTATGTATTACTTTGTATTGAATTACTCCAAAATTCAGCATCAAATTTCTGCAAATCTTGATATGAGTGGCTTAGCTGGGTAGTTCTGACTCCATCTTATGAGGTTGCAGTGAACCTGCTGCCAGGGCTAAAGCCACCTGAAGGTTTAGTATTTGTCTGTGGCTGATGGAGTCCCATCAAGAATGGTTCACTTACATACTTGATAGCAAGAGATTTTGGTTTCTCACCAAGAGGAAGACCTAGGTCAACTTGAGTACGGTATCCCCTTAGCACAGAGTAGAGTCACAGAGTCTTTTTTGTGACCTGGCCTTGGTCACACACAGTTATTCCATAAGGTGCAATTATGCAGGTCAGCTCTATTGAATGTGAGAGGGAACTACAGCAGGGAATGGATACCAGAGGAGTGGGGCAAGATGGCCTTTCAGGACCATTTTCAGAGATAGGCTACCACTCAATTATTATCACTGATTTTCCAGTTTTAGCAAACATAACCTAGCTATTTTATCTTTATTTTGTTAAATTAGAGAAACAGAGTTGTTAGGTGAACTTTCCAGAGCCCCAAAGCCAGTGGGGCTAGTTTAGAACCTTACACATTGTGCCCAATTAACTGAAATAATAGGTATTTTTTGTCGCATTTCCATACATTTATTCCACAGGTATTTATTGGACTATGAGGCCACTATAGTGCTAGACCCATCATAAGAACGTCACAGAATTTTCTTGTAAACTTACTGATTGCCTTTGTTGTAATGTTTAAAACATTGGCTTAATTGGGACACAGGCAGGAAAAATAGCTCCCCCCCAAAAAAAATTACTTCAGATACTTTTTTCCATTTATTCTTAAAACATCCCAGTGTGAAAAGGGAAGAATTAACTTCTTTATTGTATGTTTAGGAAAATTGAATCATGATTTGGAGACATGGTATGACTTTGACATTGTGTTTTAGAGCCATAATATTTAACATTAGAACCAGAATTCCTGTTTCCAACATTCTGTTCTAACATAAATGCTGCAGTGGAAATGGAGGAATAATACACAAAATATAATTCTGAGACTTTCTAACTTGACTATGATACAAATGATCTGTGACAACAGATATTACAACAGTAATGTTTGCATTAAAAGTTTTGTAAAAAGTACCATTAATGTATTGTGTAAATTTGTATTCATATACTTTTGTAAATATACTAAGTTTTTCTTAATATTTTTTTAGTTGTAGATGGACACAATATCTTTATTTTTATGTGATGCTGGGGACCGAACCCAGGGCCTCACACATGCAAGGCAAGCGCTTTACAACTGAGCTACAACCCCACCCCCAGTAACAGTTTTCACAATGATTTCCTGTCTTGCAACTAACACTAATGGAACAGTATAAAGAAATACACTAGTGGGCACTGTGGTGCATGCCTTTGATCCCAGCGGCTTGGGAGGCTGAAGTAGGAGGGTTGCAAGTTCAAAGCCAGCTTCAGCAACTTTTCGAGACCCTAAGAAACTTAACAAGACCCGCTCAAAAGAAAATATTTGAAAAAAGGGTTGGAGATATGGCTCAGTGGTAAAGCCCTTGATATATAAAAAAGAAAAGAAATACACTAATGTAAATTATAAACAGAAAATAAAAATGTTAAAATCACTTAAGTGTCACTTTGCTTCTGGGTCTACAATCAACATGCTGGCATTTGCCACTTTTTTAAAGGAAGAAAGGCACTTGTTTTAAGTAAGAGTGAGATGCCTTAAATATGTTGAGAATATTTGCTAATTTCAAAAACCTTGTAAATAAAATAAAATACTAATTCTACTAAATTAGGGAGGGGTAGTTTTTAAAAATCACTTTTGAAGATTTTAGGGTAAGGCAAAAGCAAAGGCATTGTAGAATGAGCCTGTCCAAGCCTTTGCTTCCAAAGCAAACCAACTTTTTGAGCACTGCTTTATTGTTTTAGATCAAAATACGTGATAAATATATGCTATTCCCTTTTATGATTTTGCTCAGCACTTTCTGTTGGAAGTAAGCAAAACTTCTTGACAGCTCCTCTACAATTTGAAAAGAAAAAAATCCACAGTTCACATTTTAATGACTTCATTCCACGTAGATACTACAAGCCATTTTTTTTGTCAGTTCTTTTTTTCTTTTTTTAGATATTGAAGAAATATTGCATCTTTTATGGATTTCATGGTAAAAGATATGTCACCCCCACAAGACTGGATCAGTTGCAGGGTTTATTTGTTACTATAGCTTAAAAGCAGAAAGTGCCCTTCTCCAAAATTCACACACACAAAACCCTTGTCAACACCCCTGTGTTTGCATTAAAAGTTTTGTAAAAAGTACCATTAATGTATTGTGTAAATTTGTATTCATATACTTTTGTAAAAATACTATTAAATTACATTTGTGGTTATAATGCTATGGTCTATAAAGAGCTGGTATGTTTCCTCTATAGTGCTGATGACACATTTTTCTACCCTACCAGCTTCCCATACCCGAACCCTTTTTTAGTTTGTAACATTTTGTTATAGATCTATTGCTCATACCATTACACATTACTAGCCCTTGAATTGTACTTCTTATAGGCTTATTCAGTGACTTACATAGTTTAATTTCCTGGATATTAAAATTTAAATTCTTCTTGTTTTTTTTTTTCAGTGAAGAAATTGAAATGGCCTTTAAACCTTTTGACTTCATGACCAAGAATTTTTTTTTAAGAAACACACACATAAAAAAAAAGAATCCAGGTAACAACTATTTTATAAATATGTGACTGTATTTTTCTTCATGTCCAGAAACTTATTGAGTAGAATTCAGGTATATTCTTCCAAAACCCACAGTCAGAGATTTTCTAACACAGGTTGACATTTGTACCAAAATGGGCAAGATAATGAAGGCACAGGCTCACTTAGTATCAATAAGGGACATCAAACACAGTCATGAGGCACTAATGAAACATAAGCTTAGTCACAAAAAGCAAATGTTCGAAGTTTTCAGTAGCTTTTCTCCCTTTAACATTTGGCAAAATTCAGTCTAGATATTTTAATACCTCAGAAAGAAAAAATAAATAAGATTCTACATTAAAACCTATAATTCATTTTTAGAAATATAAGAGATACAATGAAAGGAGGGGAATGCTGATTTCCTATATTCTTAGATTATCCTTCCTTTCTGAGGATCTCAGATGTCTGTGCATCTGCAGAAATGCCAGCTCTAACTGAAGATTTATGAGTTTATAGATAGTTGCTGACATGGTCCCTCAACACTACTAAAAGTCTGTATCACAAAAACAAAAGCTATCTTGGTTTCTGCTTTTTAGTCCTTTGTTTTAAACTGCAAGTCAAATTTGATTATAGGTGACCAAAAAATTTTAAGTAAAATATATATTTAACTTCCCAATAAGAAACAGATTACATATTTAGACTTCAATGGCAAATAAATACACTTTAAAGCCAAGCAAGTTCCTCTCTTCTATCTAACAAATAAGAAAAAGTCACTTTTGTTATTGCTGATGACCACATCACTCATAGAACATATCAAGAACTAGTTTCACGATTTTAGGAGACTCTTTCTATGAAACAATATAAAAGATGAAGGTTTAACTTAAGTCTAAACAGGCAGAATAGACCTGTACTTACAACACTCCTATTACAAACATGACAAAACTGAACAATAAAACAGCTGAATCTCTGTTTGCATCATAACCACCATCTATGTGATACGTAACTACTCACTCTCTATGGGTTAATACCACCCACTGCAAGCCTAGAGATGGCAATCAATGTAGAATGCCACCTTACAATTAAGCCTCTGTTCTACAGAGAGAACATGGAAATGTTTCAGCTTACCCATAGCGCTTAAGTATGTTTTAAAAATATTTCCTAGGAAATTAATTTTCATAGTATTTCCCAAATCCTTCAACTAAAGACATCCTGATAATTTGTCTTTTTTATATTGAAGTCTATCAGGTTTTATTTTTTAACTGTTTGCAAGTATTAGGAGTAAGGGAGCGGATACAACATGAATTCACAATTATTAATATTTTTCAGTGACAACAAAATTTTGCATGCTTAAAAATTAATTATAAGTAAAAATAGAGAATACTTATATAGAAGGATCTTAATAATTTGGTATTTGGGTATTCTTTTCTTTATGCTTTAAAAACAACCCCTAATATTTTCTGACAACACAGTATTTATATATATTTATATATATATAAAGTTCATTTCCATGCTTATTACGTAAAAATAACTATCAGAAATATCAATCTATCAGTGTCAGCTGATATATATCCAATTAATTCACTGCAGAAGGGAAAATAAAAATCTAAAGTAATCATTAAAGCTCACAGTTCAATTTTTTTTTTCCTTTTTTTTTTTTTTTTTTGTCTTGTTTGAAATTTTTTGGTGGTTTATCTGTGCTGCTGGAGGCTGATTCCCAGATTAATGGCCTCCAAGGAAATTTGAAAGGAAGCCTGAAGACTTCTTACTTTGCTGTGCATCTGCTTCCTGGTCTTGTGTAAGTCCCAATTCACTCTCAATTTGATCCAGCTCTGACTGGTCAAGTAATTCAAAGTCATCACCTTCTTCAGTGTCTGTGTCCTCCCCTGGGCTGGGTGCAGCTTGAGCAAGTACTTGCTGAGCACTCTCTAGCTGGTCTTTAATAGCAGCAGTCACTGCAGCTGTGATGACGTTCCCGGCCAGGTTGCTCATCAAGTGGAAAGTTTGGTCACTGTTCAGAGGAAGGGTGAGACCAGCTGCTGATTGTCTCTCTTTGCTTGGTCTGTGACCACTTTCCAGATGTTCCTTTTTTCTCTTGAGCTCAGTGGGCAAGCCAAGGCTTAATTCATCTTCATCATTTGTTCCCGTGCCATTTTCTAGAGATGGAAAATCTGAAAGATCTCGAGAGAAAACTTCCTCACTAGGCCGGTCAAGATCTGTGAAGTGCATAATAGAAGTTCGTATTTAAGCACCAAAACAAATTTAAAATAAGAGCTGTCTAAAATCTGACTTTGATTTGAACTTTCCAGGCAACCTTGACATTAATCTAGCCTCTGGAGTCAACCTAAATCAATTTAACAACGTATTGGACCCTTCCCAAATCTGTGACACTAGCTCTCCACAAGTCCATAAATATTGTATGTCCACCTATAGCTTTTAACTTGCCTCTTAAGCACAAAACGTTGCAATTATCACTTAATATTCAGCTTGTCTAATATGAGCTTTAGGATTTGACTAAAGTTCAGGTGTTCATCGTAAAAATTCCATCCTGCCCCTAAAGTGGGAATTATCTTAAGCCACTGGGAATATGCACGATCACAAAATTTAAAAATATGTGAATTGGAGGTATTCGTGGATTCTGATACATCACCTTTTGGTTATTATCCAGCCTGAGCATTTCATACATGGAGATTTTCTTCCATATCTATAACCTGTGACTGTTTAAAGCAATGAAAAGAAGCTCCTGCCCTCTCTGTTCCAGTTCAACCCAAGAGCTTATGGAAGCATTTGGCTCTCCATCAATATAGCTGAAACTGGCCATGCCAAGATTCATGATATTTGTAAGCAATGTCACATGAGGGATAGACTGATTTACTTTTCATAGAAAATCTTTCAGTGTAACAGTGAACTCCTTGCAAAAGTGGTTGGAAATCAAATCTATTAATGAAATCCCTATATGTTGATTGGATGGTTGTTGTCCCTTTTGTTACATAAATCTGAGATGGGATGGTTAAAACAAAGTGATTGTTATTCTTTTCTTTAAAATATGACCTCAGTTGTAGATACCAAAAGCTTACAGACCTTGAGTGAACAAGAACCAAAAGCTTATAGACCTTAAGTGAACTTCACTGTTCCTCTTGTTCTAATGCACTTTAAATACGACAAAATTGAGGTCCACAAAAATTATGTCATCTGTTTAAGGTCATACAGTGAGCTACTAGCAAGGCAAGACTACACTTGGGTCTCCCAACCTCCAAACCCATCTTTCACACACTTCACAGCCTCCCTCCCTCCCTCCTATAGAACATGTATTTTGGGAAAGTAATTATAAAACCAGGTTACTTATCCTCTTCCATATAATCTGCTCATATGTTCAGTATATGGCTGAGACCATTGAAAAGAAGGTCCAATTGGACAATTAATTCAATGAGACTAGCAAAAGTTAAGTTATTGCACAAGCATTGACTCAACTTATGTTATGGATGGAATTTATATTATTAAATTCAATTTTTACTCTACTACTTTAAATTGCATTTTACCTAGATATAAAAAACAAAGAGACTTGATTAACCTTGAAGATAAACATGAGAAACTCTGGAATTGGCTTTACTCAGGGGAACTTGCCCTCCATACTTAAATCTCTTTTAATAAATACCAGGGCCAAATATATAAAATCAGCTTTCTTCTTTCCCTCTTCCCATTAATGCTACAAGGAATGCTGCCAGACATTTCATAAGGTAATTTATATATTAAAAAAATTATATAAATATATATATTTTTTAAAAAACTATGTATATACATAATTTTCAAAATAAAGACAGATTTTGGCATAGACATTTTTTCTCATGTTTCTTTAAAATAACCATTTTTGAGATGTAATTCACATACCATAAAATTCATCCTTTTAAAATATACAGTGCAGTGTTTTTTTAGTATATTCACAAAGCTGTACAATCATCACCATTAATTCTAGAACACTTGTATTACTCCAAAAAGACCTACTAATTAACACCATCTTTCTCTCTGCTAGTCCCTAGAAACCACTAGCCTACTTTCTCATATATTAACTTATTTATTCTGGACATTTCTTGTAAATGGAATCATACAATATGTGGCCATTTGTGTCTGGCTTATCTACCTCCCCCGCCCCCAATGCTGGGAATCAAACCTGGGGCCCATGTTGGGCAAGCACTCCATCTCTGAGCTATACCCCCAGCCCAGTACATTACTTTATTACAGACCAGTAAGATTCCACTGTAGAGATATACACATTTTATTTATCCATTCATGATTGACAGAAGTTAAATATTTTTACTTTTACTCCATAATAAGAAGAGTATCCAGAAATATGAGCATACCGTCAGAAGTGTCTGTCTGTGGAGTATAACCTTCGGAAAGGTTGAAGGTCCCATTATCAGTCCAGGATACTTCTGAGACATCTGTGTCAGACACAGATAACTCTTTGGCAGCAACCGTGAGGCTAATCTGTATTAATAGACATACCAGTAGCACATTTTAAACTGCAAAGGAAAATCTTATGAAAAACCCACACTAACCCCTGAAATGCCATAATAATAAAAACAAAGTTATGAGTACTTTTCTTTGAGTTTGTTCAAATAAAATAGGAAGAGTCTATCAGGAGATCATTCAGCCTTGATTCATGTAAATAAATGTACAACCAAACCACACAAACATATTGAAAACTAAACAAAAATACCTTAGGACAAAGAGCTGAAAAGTCTAATTCACTGTCATCTTTGTGACTTTTTTCTTTTTCTGCTTCTGTTGAAAAAAATTTGAAAGCTTTCAGTTTCCTGTCAAGCTTAGACTTAGTGTATTTATTTTATCATATATTCTTACCCCATATTCCCCTTATTCTCCAATGCCTCCCTACCATTAAATGTTTGCTTAAGAAATTTCACATATTTGCAAGTGTTTGCTTTTCAAAGGAAACAGTACCTACTAGTGGTTCTCATAGCATGAACCAATATCATCATCATCATCATCTCTAGGAACTTTTTATCAATACAGATTCTTAGTCTACTGATTCACAAATTCTGGGTTGGGACCCACAATCTATATTTCCCCAATTTGTCCAGGTGATTCTGATGCACAATATAGTTTGAGAACTTATAAGGTCATATACCAAGTTAAAATTTTAAAATGATCATATTGGTTTTTTCTCTATTTTCCTTCCCCTGTTATTTCACTCCACTCTTATCCCTACCAATGGCATTTTTTTATTTGCAATTGTTCACCACATATAATAAATAGCAAGATAAGGAAATCTTTTCTCCCTCTCTTAAAATTTTTGATTAAAAAGTCAAAGTTAATTGTGTATTTGTGAAAAGAATAAAGCCTAAATAGGAAAAGACCACATATATTATTTTGGGGGATTAGCTTCTATAATCATATTTAGTAAAAGGCTAAATGCACCCTGAAATGTATAAAGGCAATTTTGTAACAAGTAGCCTGCTAATGTCTTACTTGATGCATAGAATCTAAAATTCAAACTTTACCTACCAGATCTCTCTCGTTTCTTCTGATTAATATATTCTCCAATTCCAAAATCTAGTTTCAACAGAACTGACTTGATTTTGCTGTAGATTTTTTGTCCAATATCATTACATTTAAACAGTGGACACAAAAACGCAAACAGTACTGAAATATAAGAAGGAAGAGAATATGGGTAAAATGCACTTCCTTACAAAAGTTTACATCTTAGTATTTCACAAAATACTGTTTTCTTTATTGAAAAATAGAATTCTTTTTCTTAGGATAATGCCTTTTCCTAATTAGGTTCATTTCCTAATTTCTATTCTTCCTTGTCATGAAATATGTTTTAGTACGTACATGTACACACACACACACACACACACACAGGCACTGTCTTGTAGACTTGCAATCAGATCAACTTCCTCACCTTAATCCTTTTATCTTAAAACCTATAGAAAGGTTGTATGTTTTTCAGGCAGTGTCCTGAGTTAAACTTCACCTCTGTTTATTTAATGACATTTTACCACGGGAAGGTTCTTGTTATCTATGATCCTTGCCTCAATAGCACTGATACTAATAGTGTTGCTTTGGGTCGTTGTGCAGTAAAAGATGAGTGCAAATCCTCTGAAAAATACCTTGCCCATATTCCTCCTTCCCCAGCACTTGTCTTCTTTTCCTCCTAAACAATGCTGATCCAGTGGTTGATATTTTCTGAGAGTTCTATTTGGAAGATTGGATTTGAGTTCCAATCATTTGCCATTTGTGTTATACATTAGAAATACTATAAGAAAAAAGGATTGCCAAACTGAATGTATTATATTCCTTAGTGATTATTTCTCTGTTGTTCTTAGGAAATATCTCAATGCTGAGGAATCATGTGAATTTTAAAAGCCAGTGTAATAAAATGGGAAAATAAGTAGGGAGTGCCTGCCCTATCAAAAGGCAGCAGTGACAGATCTTCATGTTTCAGGAAAAGAAGAAAATCTACACTTCTGTAGCAGCACTTTTGAAATATAGTTGACATACAAAGACTTGTACCAGCTAGATATTTGTCAACTTGGTAAGCTCTGACATACATGTACACTAAGAAACCATCACCACAACCCATAGTGAACGTAACTACTACCCCCAAAGTGCCTTCATGTTTGTATGAACCTTCTCTTTTGCCTGCAGTCACACAACTTGACCATAGGCAACTGCTAACCAGCTTTGCCAATAAAGGTTACCTTTAATTTTCTAAAATTATATATAAATAAAATCATACAGTCAACTCACCATAATTCCCACTCAACCTAATTATTTTGAGATTTATCCATAGTGTTTCATATATCGATTTTTAGTTAATTCTTTATTCTAATATACCACAGTTCATGCATTCATCTGGTCATATGGTCATATAGATTACACTCCACTTTTGGCTCCTACAAATGAATCTGCTATGAACATTTGTTTCTCTTGGATAAACACCTATCTGTGGGGCAGCTGGGTCATACACTAGAAACTGCCAAATTGTTATCCAAAGTGACTGTACCGTACCTACCCACAGTTAATGAGAATTCCAGGGGCTCCGTGTCCTTCCTAATACTTGATATGGTCAGTATTTTTAATTTTAGCCATTCTGGTGGAGGTCAATGAAATCTCATTGTGCTTTTATTTTTTTGAACCACAGAACTCATACAAGGCAAAAAAAGTGTTGGTATATTGTGGGGGGGGGTACAGTTTTACTGACATAATTTAACATAAAAATAAGTAATTACTTATGATCCTGGCTTTTGCAGCCATTCTTCCAATTTTAAAATATAAATACCTTTCTAGGGGGGAAAATAAGAGAAACTTTGTGCAGGAGATTAAAGATAATCATCTTGTTTTATAAGGAAGAACTCATCCCTCCTCTTCCAAACTTGGGAGGTCTACTGACCTCTAAATGATGACATGTGCATCATATAAATTAGCCAAATGTTCTATTATACTTACACAGTAGATAGCTGAGTATAACCCCAGGAATGTAACTTCCCAAGATTGTAAAAAATGTGCACACACTGCAGACCAGGAGACAAAACTAGAAGTAATAGAAATAACAGGGAACAGTTATGCACAAAACTAAGACATTTGGAGCACAGAATACACATGCTATCATTTATCTATATGTGACCTATCAGATTATGGCAAATGGTTTCAAACAGCACTCTTGGTACACAGACATTCAACATCCTTAGTTCACTTTAACACTCATAATATATCATGTTGAGAGCAGAGGAGTTAATTTTTTGCCCTGAAAATGATGACTGTCATTACTCATGCCTGTGACTGTGTTACTGCCAGCTGCAAAAGATCTAAAGAGAACTTATCCTAGAAACTTCTTTTACTCTGCCTCAGTTAATGGAAGTAATGCAGTCAGATAACTGTCAGCAATTTTAAACTACAACTGTAAGCCCATCCAAATTTATAAACACAGCAAAACATGTTACAGAAATTAGAGGCATCTACACCAATCTAATTAATTTCACAGCTGGTAAACTAAGATAAACTATGGTCATTGTGATCCTCCTTCCTAATAGACTTTATCCACTTTTAGGACACCTAGGAACCAACTACAAATGAAATGAAACTCCTGTTGTGAATCTGATCACTTTCCTTCTGTCAATTAAAAAAAAAACTTGGTTGTTTTAAGAAAATTGTTTTTTAAATCTACAGAAGATTTCCTTAATTCCCATTAGAAAGATCAAGACCAAAAAAATCTCTTATTAAAGTTTTCACTTGATTTACACACTCCAGTCTTAAAATCTTCCTCTTCTTATGTCTTTATCTTTAAATGGAGGTATTAAATTAAGTTGATAAGCAAGAAAAATTCATTAGTGGACTTTGTAGTAAGGAAAACAGACATGGGAGTAAGAAATACAAATCTCTGTTCAGTAACTGAATAAGAGAAAGCAAGGAGTCTAAATTTCAGGCTAACTTTGTTTTTCCATTCTTTGGCATAGTGTTTATAAGTTAACTAGCTAAAAGGAGTATAGAATTACTTGTGAAATAAAATTAACAGCAATTTCTGAAACATCAAGGGCCCTAGAAGAAATGTGGAATTCTAAAATTAAATGTTTGAGGAAGAGCTGCAGAAATTGAAGGAACAAATATAATAGCGTAACTATATCCAGAATTGAGTTTCGCAAAGCAATTTCTTATTATCCCTTAGATTTTGTAGCATCATCATCTTCAGTTGATGGACCTGAGGTACACTGATACAATGCAGGGCAGAAGTTTAAAGCTTAGAATCTTCTGAAATACCTTTAATCAGTTGAGTAAAATAACCGCCAAAAATACATCATGCCCCTAATAGATATCTATTCTTAAAGTTACCTTCAATGATTAAAAATTCCCATGGAAGACAACACTGCCATTCCAATATGCTCCAATTCTTTCCAAGCACAGTTCTATTATTCAATAATAGCAAAGTCACGAGACCTCTATACATAGTACAATGACAGGGATCACAAATGCTGACACTTATACTCTTCATTCCAACCACCCTTGAATATCTAACAAGGCCTGTCAGTGGTTCTGCAGTTCATCCTGACTACAAAGACTATCAGTCACAACCGAGGTTGTTTGCTCTTGCTCAGGATATTGCTTTCCAATCCTTTAGACTCACCCAGTGGGGTTTTTCTTAAATTAGGAAAACACTTGTTCCACTTACATAATCGTAAGGAATGTTTTGGCCAAAAGTTTTATTTGATAAATAAACCATACAAGTCTCCAATTTTCAGAATGAAAGTGACACACTGTTACCTCTGAAAGTACCTTAAAGGACTGTGTGTTCAATTCATGTCCCTTTGACCTCAGAAAATGGGCCATTAAACATGAATGAAATTCTAAATAAGACATTTTTTTTTCCTTCTTGGTTTGGCTGATACAGACTAATCACCATTCAATTAATAAGCTAAATAAATGTATATGATATATAATTTCAAAAAAATTTTTGGTACTAGGGGTAGAACCAGGGATGCTTTAATACTGAGCTACACTCCCAGACCTTTTTATTTTCTATTTTGAGACAAGATCTCACTAAATTGCTAAGACTGGTGTCGAACTTTCAATCCTGCCTCAGCCTCCTGAGTTGCTGGGATTACAGGTGTTGTGTACCACCACGGCCCGGCACATACTAAAGTTACTGAGCCTTGCTGATTCCAGCTTTTCAGCCATATGTTCCCTGTGTATTAAGAATTAGAGAATGTTTATGATAAAAGCATGTGATAAATGTACATTGCACATTTAGAACACACTCTTGTACTAGAAAACTTGCCTTTCCAGGGCTCTGCTGTTTAAAAAGAGACATTTCTTGAAGAAATATGCTGAAATTCATCCATGATTCTGCAATACAGTGGCTGAGTCTGGGTCTTTCATCCGGTTTGGAATTGATGACTTCCCAGCTAAGGAGACGAAAAGAAAAAAAAAATGTTTTTGGTTCTTAACAAAAAGTACAAGCTTTAGATGATTTACTCAACATCCATGGCTTCAGCAAATATTGTTTGAGCATCTACTGTTGGCCTTACTCTCTGGAAAAGCCCTGTGAATTCAGAGATGAACCAGTCAGATACTTGCCTCATGAAGCTCATATGCCAAGAGATAATAAATCATCTAATTACAATAAGGGAAACACTGAAGAGAGGAGGAGGACAGGGTTGGGGCTTTGGGATATTATTAACCAAGGAAGTCAGTTTTGAGCTCATATCTGAAATGGATTAGCAGTTTACCCCCGTGTTCAGATAGAAAAATGTAGATATATGTAGAGAAAGAGCTGGAATGGGAAAGGGCTAAAGTGCCACCCTACTAACCCTACTGTGGATCCAACAAAGTCAGGAGAAATATAACAAATAAAGCTCAGGAAGCAGGAGATGAGCTAGATCATACAAGGCCTTATATGTTTGTTAGAAACTTTTAAACTGTACAGATCAGAAAGACACAGTACTTTTAAAGAAACTTAGGTACTAAGCATATAATCATTATTAATACTAAATACCGATAATGTATTTTCAGTATGTATGGTAGTTGGTCAACTACATAGACAACTGGTACACTCAACAGGATCTCACAATGCCCCGTATTTCTGAAGTATCTTTTCCTGATCATCATCTAGAATGTGTTGAATGTGATGCAGAGACCAGGCAGTGTGCTGTGTGTGTCCCTGAACTCGTTTTGCCATGAGAATCTCAGTGAGCTAAAAGCAAAAAACAATCACTCCAGGAAGAAGACATATGCAAGTTCCTAAAATTATAAGGATTCTTGCAATAGTAACCCATTTAAATATTCCAAGAACTATTAGTGAACTCTCATCTGAGTTACAATTGTAAGGGCATCAGGATGAGGCCGAGCTCTGGCTTCAACCCCAATACCTCTAAAACAAATCAAAGTGACCTTGGCCCATGATGTTCAACCTCACAGAAACTATATACATAGATTGTTACTTTTAAATATATTTTGAATAGTAAAGCAATTTGCAAATTAATTAAAATTCCTTTTGAAGTGTAAATTTTAATCCTAGTGTAATAAAATTTAAAAAGGCAGGGGGGGCGATATATTCCTTTTTCCCTTTGCCTTTGCCTCAATTGATGCTCTGCCAGAGAGTCACTGAACTATCAATTTTCCAGAATGATGTTATTCCACCAGGTAGGGATTTGTCAAATGAGTTCCTGCCTGTCATGAGAAATGACCTTTTGGGGCTGCCTCACTGCCCAGGAGTGTTGTGTAAGCATCAGCACTACCCTGTCTGGAATCACTAAGCATGCTACTTAAACTGGTGGTCAAATATGCACCAGGTTTGCATTCCTAGTGACTTCAAACTTCCTGAAATAATAAGAATGCATGACTAAAAAGCCACTGTCTGTAACAAAATCTTGCCTATATATATATATATGCTTCATGGGAAAGGATTTTTATTTTACTGGAGAGCAAGAACTGCATGGCAAAGACAATATAAAGTTATTAAATTGTCATCTTTCTTCTTAGACAACAAATCGGCACAGACTCCAGAAATACGGGGCATTGTGAGATCCTGTTGAGCGTGCTGTGTGTGTCCCTGCATTTTTTTTTACATGAGAATCTCAGTGAGATAAAAGCAAGAAACAACCACTCCAGGAAGAAGACATATGCATAGACATATGGGTATGTATATACATAGGCTTGGCTACTTGTCAGGTCAGTGGGCCACAATTCTTCATTTCTGCTTTCTGTATTGGGAACATTTAAAGGTCCAACTGAACTATTTGGCAAATATATAATTCTAACCAAAATCATTTAAAAGCATAATGAAAGGTTTTGAGTATCAAAACATTTTAAAGATTATTTTAAAGTATCTTTTAAAGATTCCTGATTCCCAGTACAATTCTATTCATTTTAAAACATGCTCTCTTCAAAGAAACAATAAACTCAAAGGTGTCCTTCAAAGAGACCACATTGTAATTCAGAATGAGAAGGAACACTAGATGTTCTTCCTGCTCCTTCCTAGAACAAGGGGGGATGGGGTGTGACTGACCAACGTGGCATCACGTAGGACCAACCCTTTCCAGGAAAGCACAGCACTTCATGTGCAGAATCCAAATACTCAGCGGAAACTAAGATTTGTGCTTGGTGGTTGGTTGACGTTTAATACAGATGACGTCTGCACACACACAGAGTTGCTCCATAATGGGACTCTAGGTTTTCCTAGAGAGCCTTGCTTGGGAAACACATAACCAGAGAAAGGATCTCTTGTGAATACTGGACAAGATTTGGAAAGCAGGTCTTTCCCATGGCATGTGGCTATCTTCCCACCATCCTTGGCACTAATTGGTCTATAATGCAAGGCCCAAGTAACAAGGAAATAAAATACACTTTAGCCTTCAAAACAGTTTGAGATTTTTACCAAGTTCTTAACCAAAAGTACAAGTTCTCTGTGATTGAAACTCATCTAAGGGAGAAAATCCTGTTTCCTATTAACATTGCCTCCTTACTTTCAGAGGGGACATATCATTTTCAGTGCAAAGAGAAATGAGGCTCATGCTCTCATAGGTCTTCCCTTCTGTTCACCCTCCTTCCAACTTCCTCTCACACTCACACTCTTGCCTTCATTAAGCAGGGAACTGCTGCACGCTCCAGCCACAAGATAAGGACACAGGAGTCACCATTCATGGCCACCAACCACAACTCATCAAACTCAGTGAGTCCAGTTTCCGTGGTACTCAGGGAGAAGTTCCTGTAGCTCCAGCCTCCTTAAGGCCGCACCAGCTTTCATGTGGCCTTTGCCCAAGTACCAGCAGCTGCAAATGCTTCCCAGTAAAGGCTCTAGCAGAGGCCATTTGGTTGTTTTCCTTCTTAAGAAAAACTGGTCAGGTGTTTTTGACAAAGGACATTTTGTAATCAACATAAGCAATTATTTACCAAAGAAACCCAAGCCAGGGCAAAGTCCTTTTTCAGTGGCTGAGGAACATGGTCACCTGCCTAAGGAAATAAAAATTAGTCAGGTCGCTCCTCAGGCAAGCAGCCTCACTGCATCCACACAAAGGACTTCAGCTTTCAGGTAAAATTTCTGCAGATCCCTGTTAGAATACAGCTAGTTGGTAGTTTGGCCAAAGCAGGCCTTTCGTGATGTTCATAAAATTGGGTGTGTGTAACACGGAGCTATTCAAACAGCACTGTCTGAGCCTTACTCAGGAGATTCTGGTGGAGCAGGCCTGGGTGAAGATCAGAAACCTTCGTTTTTAACAAGTATCCTGGAGGTTCTGAGGCACATGTGCCTTACCCTAAAGTCACTGTGAGAAACACCTGAGAGAAATTATCATCGAATTCCCATTCACAAATAAAAAGTAGGGAAACATGCTTCTAGGCAAGATGGTGTGGCAGGGACCTACCTGGTTTACCCTCCCTCCTTAAACAACCAAACACGTACAAAGGAAAAAACCAGACAAAACAGATGAAGCAATGATGTTGAGGACCCTGGGCTTTATACAAGGAAGGACAGTGACCCCTGAGGGACAGGAAACCAATGAGGGAGTCTTGAGACCAGCTCCTGCCCTACAGGTCTCCAGGCCTCAGATAAGTGAAACCCACCAGATCCCTGAGTTGAGGAGACAGAGTTGAGGGTCCAAAGAGAACACCCAAGAGACCAGAGTTGGCACAACACAAGATGAGGAAGTAGATGCTGTGCAGAGAGCAGGATCTGCAGGGGTGGCCCCTGGAGCCTTTAATGAGGACTGACCAGCATACATATTTGAAGAACCAGGAAGCCAGGAAAAAAGCCATTAGAAAGGACCAGAAGGATCAGTGCTTGTGCCAAGAATGACTCCTTGTCCCACCAACTATACTGGAAAACCTCATTGGATATTGGTGGAGTGTTCATCAGGGTCATGTCTCATTGCACAGAATAATCAGTTTTGAACTAAATGCTTCTTTGGTCCCACCTAGCAAGTCTTAAAAGCAAGCCCCAAAAGAATAAAACTTATTTTTTAAGTAATTCAACCATCATTTGTATGAATACATTGCACGAATACAAAGTGGTAGGTTTTGTTATAAATCAAACAACTCAATGGTCAAATAGGGATCTGAATGATTTTACTTTTTTTCTTTCATGTGTATCTTCTTTTAAATCATTGTACTTTAAAGATACAGTTACCAAAACTGAAAGATACAGTTACCAAAACTGACGTTTAAATATTGTATTAAAAGATTTGTTTCTCTGTAGTTTAATAGCTACACACATGAGTTCTTGGGCACTTTGTCCAGTTTCAGAATGCAGTGCATAGTACTGTCCATTAGAGGAAGCTAAACAACCAGGAAATGTGACAGTTGTACTCCTTAAAAACACATTGTCATTCTGTAAGAGAGGACATATTGTAGCAGCCTGATTCCTCTCTTTCACTCCAAGTGTCTTTGAGCACTTGAAAAAGATGCTGAAACAGATGAATGTTGGTAGGGGAAAAATAATGTCTCTTGGTATCCCCTCACTTCACTTCTGTTCATTTAATAAATAGACACATTAACTGTTACTAGGTACATTAACTGTTACCATTCCTAGCTCCAGATATTTAGAGATGACAAAGGCACAGCCCTAAAAAATACACTTATTTCTAGATGTGACCCAGCATGATTCAAAACGTGCATGTGTGCATACACTCTCATATATGAAACTTACCTTTTTAAAATGGCACTTAATTGTATCTAGTGCTATTGAAGAAAAATAAATTTGAAAACTAAGTTGAGAATTGGATATGTGAAGGGAACCTGTTAAATACAAGATCTTTTCATTATAGTACATTTTACAGGTAATACAGAAAAATGAATTGTGTAGTCATATCCTAGTGAATTTAAAAGTCCAAGTAATATAAACAGCTGAAAGCTATTTTTCAAAGCAAAATTTATATTTTTTAAATATATCAATGTTCAAATTCTTTTTTCT